AACATTTCGTAGCGTAAAGCATAATTTTTTTTGTGGCCTAGTAGCCGGCTGCTAGCTTACAGGAACGATGCCTATCCGTTGCTGGTAGCTTAGCTGGCATGCAACTGTTGTAGTTATTTTCCTTTTCCTTTATATATTGCGGCACACTAGCTGATGTGTTTCCCACCTCTAGCTGACGTGTATAATGATGATGATGATTATGAATATATGGTCTATACAGCCACGTCTTAGGCGGAAACCGGCCTGCTCTTCCCTACTCCGAGATTCCGGTTCCGCAGTAAGGCGACGAACGATAATCGAGGCCAGTACTTTTGTCACAACTGGCGTTAGGCTAATACCCCTGTGGTTAGAACAGTCTGTGCGACTGCCCTTCTTGTATATTACCACTAATCGATTCGCTCCAATTAGCCGAGATGCTCTTCCTTCCAGATACGTTTGAATAGGGAGGGCAGTGCTTTGCAGAGGACCTCACCTCCATCCTTAAATAGCGCAGGTAGGAGGGAATCCCTACCAGCGGAACGAAAACGATTGAGGGCTGTGATCGCGTTTCGGACCTCGGCCTCCGACGGAGGCTCTAAACTAACCGTCCATGGCTCGTCCTGCATCACCTGATTAGAAAGTGGTCGGGAAGCAAGAGGCCAGCTGAACTGATTTTGAAAGTGTTCCGCCCAATGAGCCATACGGCGTCCCGTACTGTGTATCAGTGCACCCGCCCTGTCTCTGATTGTCTCACTGAGGTCTGGTTTTCTGGGACCAACGGTGCGGATTAGATGGAAAAGCTTGCGGTAATTGCCTACTGCTACTGCCTCCTCCATTTCTTGAGCCCAACTGGTCCACCAGACTTCCTTGTCAGCATGTAGGCTCCGCTTTGGTTAACACCTAATAGCCCGTCTGGTCAGATGGTGTTCAGAACTAGTCGGGAGGTTTCTTCTAGATTCCAACAGGTTCACCGACCTCTCGGATATCTAGTGACTGGGGCGGCGACGATGGATAGTGCCACAAGCAGATGCTCCTGCGTCGTGCATGGCGGCCGAGATCCTATTCCACTGAAGCTCAGTGTCATTAGGACAAGACAGCAAAAGTTCGGTACGCAGTGCGTCTTCATTGGCTTGCCTGACCGAGGGCTGAGACAGTTTCTCAGTTGCCAATTGAAGGAGATGCTTGGTGCGCCTCCCAGTAAAGTTCATCAAGAAACGACAGCGTACCAAGGCATGATCATAGTCGACGCAGCTACTTCAGTACGAGCGTTGTGTGGTATAGTCTAAACTTTACGACACCCGGTGATGAAACCCTTATTACGACATTCTTTCATTTACTATACACTTTAGCTGGAGGTGGGAAACATCACAGCTAATGTGCTGCAATACCTAAATGGAAAAAAGAAGAAAACTGCAACTAGTGCAAGTCAGCTGAGCTACCGGTAACGGATGGGCATTGTTCCGGCAAGCTAACAGTCGGCTACTAAGCAGCAAAAAGAAATTACCATGCAAAGTATATAAGGCTTAATAATGAGATCGTGGTTGGATGGGAAGGCTAAGAGGAATAGGGTGGGACAAAGTAACTCACAACACAAACGCTACTGAGGTCGGCTCCTTGCCATATCAACAAGGGTATCCAGCCAAACGTGTTCATCGGCTTTCGGACCCCAACCAGGGAGCCGATGCGCTCCAGCAGAGGCCAGCTTCAACGTAAGGGCCTTCATTCTTCTCAAGCAAGTCATCTCTTGGCAACCCCTCCTTTCCTTCCATCCTCATCTCCGGCGCGCAAATAACGCACATCGCGAGAGTCGGCGGGCTGGCATGCGTAACACGTGGCCGAGCCAACGCAGCCTGCCGCGTAAACTAACGGTGCTGATCAGTTCACTTCCCATTTCCTGTGCCATAAACAAGGCATCGAACACGCACGTTGCTTACTCGGTGTTTCCACCAGCTGTGAGCTTAATTGCGAAGGCATCGGTGGATCTAAGGGGCCAGATTTCACAACCGTACAGTAGGGGCGAATGTACCGCTGCATTTTACCCTCTACCCTTCAGGACGAGAATGAGGTCGCGCCGCCGCCATTAGTGCGAAGGTTAGCAAAAGCGTCTCGAGCTATTGTTACCCAGTTCGTGATCTCATCTTCAATCCCACGGGCGCTGATACAACTCCCCAGATAGTCGAATTTTTGAACGACTTCTAACTGATCCCCACCAACGGTCAGAGTAGGAAGCGGCCCAGGCCAAGCTTGGAGGAACGCTTTGCACTTCGAAGTTGCCAAGCAGAGCCCAAAGTGACGGACAGCCAGTTCTAATCTGTTCAGTGCCGCTTGGCACGTCTGACAGCTGTCACAAATTAGGGCAATATCGACAGCATACTTCAAGTCAAAAAGTCGTTCTCCTGAGAGCAGATCCACACCTCCCAAGTAATGTTCTGTGAACGCGATTTCCACGACTTCGTCAATAGCGAAGATGAAGAGGAATGGTGACAGCAGGCATTCCTGTCTCAAACCGCTTGAGATATTAAAGGGCGACGACAGCTTACCGTAAGCCCTCACTTTGCATGAGCTACGCGCGTATAATGCTCGGATAATATTTACATATTTCTCAGGTACACGTTTCCTGAGTAGACAGTCCCAAAGTGCACGCCTATCCACTGAATCGTATGCACCTTTAATATCAAGAAACACGACAACCTTGGGCCGCCAATATATGTGACGGCGCTCCAACCACCGACACAAGGTGAAGATGTGGTCAATGCAGCCACGACCTCGACGAAAACCGGCTTGCTATTCATGAATATGGCTTGCAAGAGTGCCCGTCAATCTGTGAAGGATGACAGAGACAAGCAATTCCGAGGCGATGGAGATCAGACTGATTATGCTTGCCGCATTCCGATCGTGAGCCTCCCTTGAAAATTGAGACTATGGCGGAGCGGCTCTGGTCGGTTGGGACAGTTTCCTGCTCGCACAGTTTGACTAGTAACTCGTATAAATCATCCACATGAGCAGGTCCTTCGAACTGGAAGAGGGCTGGAGGAAGATCGTCTGGTCCCGCGGCCTTATTTAATTTTAACAGTGCGATCTCACGTTCGACTTCTGATCGAGAGGGTGGATCGAAATAGACAACCCCGGGGAGCGGGGCGATTAGTGGCTGGCGAGAAATCTAAGGATTCCGACCGATTAAATTGCCTTTCAAAGTTCTCAGCTAAACGCTCCTAGCGTTTTGATAAGTTGTGGATAGGCTGTCCACTCGTAAAGTATAGTTTCACTAACACCAGGTCTCCTGTCGCCGGTTTCCCGTATAAGACGGTTACCAAGGGCAGTGGCCATTTCCATTAGACACGATAAGACCATCAGGATTCGCGGTCTTTCATCAGGCTAGCACGGAATTTTGCCCGGTGTTCTTTGCGAGTTTCATTGTGTTCGCTTCCAGCCGGAATGTGCCGGCGAGCATCGATAAATTCCAGAGACTGCGAAGAGACCCAATGTCCATGTTGGCGATTAGACTTACCACCTAGGATTTTCCTGCTGCTAATAAGCTCTGGTAAATATGAGAGTAGTGAGCTTCAACTGCATCCAGTGAGCGTTTACATAACTCTCATGACAGCTTACTTTTATACTTAAACAGGGTAAGGCCGACAGACCGGTTAAGCACGAACGAAGTTCAGAGCGTTATTTGTGGTAACGAATAAGGACTTTCTCTGTCAAAACAAGTAGTATCAGTGATTCAGTATCCATTGTCTTCAACAAATTCAGGACATAATACCGGGACAAATCACAGATATATGGTACCGTTCGATTAGAATATAATCAGAATAAGTATGATTTGTAAAAACAGAAAATATATCGAAAATATCTTGCAGTCCGAGTTGGCTAGCGCAGCACAAACATATTCCGAATGAGTGACCAACTTTAGGCATCGCTTTGATACAAATGCAAGCTTACACGTCATCGACTGATGTAGAAAAATACGACGTTAAAAGCCATTAGATATTGTCCAATGCGCTTCAACGTAACTTCGACTAACAAGCCTTGCATTCGCGAACAAGATGTAAAACAGTTAATTGGTAAATGTATAAATTACTAGAGCGTAGTAATGGGATATGAATGCCTTGTGACCTGGAGATTCCCCTGCCTGTTCGTGCAAATTAATCTAAAATACTATGAAATCATAGTTTACTTAATTATTAGGGAAGCAGGCGGTTCGCTTGTTCGAATGATGCTCAGATGTGTTTGACATGCACACACACTGGCTTCCGCTGTGGCCTACGGTGTTGGGTCGTCGCATTCAACACCCGATCACACCTCTAGTTATTTCTCTATTGCTGCCTTATTTCTAGCACTAGGTCGTAACAATCATCTGTAAACATCTTAACCTAGTTTTTGTGTTCTTCCGCACTTTTTTGGTGTGCTTTTACATTTGAATACTTGGGATAAAAACAACAGTAGTACATCAGCCATTTGAACTGATGCTTCGCTGCCATACAAGCACGATGACTTGGGATATAACGCCCGACCGACCCACTATAAATGACATAAGTAGAAATGCATCGCATCTAAACTCAGTCAGGTAGCCGTGAGACGCCCGGAAAAGCACTGTATGTCTGCTTTACCATTTCGGGACCGAAAGCAGTGCATTCCACCCGACCCCTGTGGGGCGCAAACCTGCAACTTAACTCTTGCCTATCTGTAGCTCAGGCATTTAATTACAAGGAACAGTAACAACCGTCGACCGTCACGATCGTGACTAAGACAGGTTCATATGGGACAACAACGATAGGATAATGCGTTTAGAGTTTCTTCTTGAACGGATGGTTGAGCCAGAAAATGATGTGATATAGCACCGATGAATAATGATAACGTGCACGTCATTTACGTTAAGGAAGTGATGCATACAATTGTAAGTGAGATGTCTGTTAAGAAATATAAAATACTGTTCGCTCATTATTAGCCACGGGAGCAAATAGGACAAGCCTACAGAAATCACGTTAAGCAGACTTTAAAAACTTAAGCACAGTACATACCAATCCCACCAGCTGCAAAATAACAACAGGTTGCCTGATGAAATCCACTGCACTAAATTTTGTTCCTGCTGTAGGTGAGGAAAAATATCGTGCCGGATCCATTGCTTCTCAATTTCTTAAACCGGACGGCTACAGTATATACTGCGAATAGCCATCAAGTGAAAAAGCGTTAGAATATAAGTGGGTGCGAAAAACAAACGAATGAACTTTCGCTTTTAACCTCCCGTCTTTAGCTATATCGAGCGCTATCTAATACATATTTTTTTCAAGCGACATCCAATTCACAAACTTAGTGCAAACTATTTTGCTCTGATATTAATTTGGCTTCAAACCTAATTTAATAGATATAATAACAACTATATAAGACGATTATCGTAACCCACCTGAAACATTATTCATTTGTATATGTGTAACAATATAGCTTAAAATGAGTTGGCGATAACATAAGCTGCCAAACTACACTGCAAAATATATCTATTTGGCAAACCATGTGTTTCAAGCATTTGATGCGAATAACACAAAGGTAATTATGTAAAAACGAGCACAAAGAAGAGTTGGCTTGTAATAGTAATTAATCCTGCAATACCGCTTAAGATCACGGTGCCATGAGTTGACTAATATAATTGTAGTAAATAACCGACAAGTACATGTAACTTTACTATGTAAAACAAACTGCGTTTTACGTAACTAATCAAAAGTTGATAAACAGTATTGGAAAAAGGTTTCTCCTTCTTTTTGTATGAAAATGACGGAGCTGACCTTTGTCCATGTCCTGCATCACAGTTACGAATATTTTAGAGAAACAAAATATGAATTTCGGCAGCCGAGAATTCTTCTAGGTAGCGGACAATTCTTCTACCGGCTGTGGCGGACAAGTTAATAAGTAAATCGTAAAGGTGAACGCTAAAATCGTATTTAGAGCCTTCGGAAACCGCTATAAATGGCACAAAAGATGCTTAGATGGGAAATTTATGCGATGGCGGGGAACGTCACCTTCGCTGTGGGGGTAACGTCCCTATCGCTATGCCAAATCCACTTCCCCGACTAATTCGCGTAGTCCTTTCTACCCCGGAGGAACGCAAATCATTACGGCGGTTGGCATTCAAACTTAAGGGTAGGGATGTCAACGTTCCGCTGAACCTACCACTAGCAGATAGATTGAAGTTAAAGGAGGCTATCAAAATCCTCAAACCTAGACGGGCGGCTGGTGAGTAAGGTCTCCGTCTGGCGGGTTTTCAGGTGTTCAGCCGGAAGTTATTTTCCGCCCTGTCAGAACCCATCCTGATGGCGCACGATTCAGTGATGGTCGTGCCGACTTCCTTGAGGTAGTATTTAGCAACGTGCGTAGCCTAAGGAACAAGGTGCACGTGTTGGGTCTACTTGTAGACAAAGCTCGTCCCGACATACTTGCCTTCACCGTAATAAGGTTGGCTCCGTAAATCACGGACGGTGAAATATTTTCACCTGGCTGCACGCTGCTAAGAAATAATCGCTCCGTTGGTCGCGAAGGCGGAGGCGTTGTACGGTATGTGAGCTGTAAGGCAGATATGTTGAGGACCTGCGCATTCCAGTCGTCCGATCAGACCGTTGAAGTTCTATCGGCTGTTAGGTGCACTTCCTCTACTCAGTTTATAGTTATAGTGATATACAGAATTCCTGGAAGTTCTTCCAGGGGATACTTGATTTTATTCGCACTCAGTCTGCGAATAAGTGGTTAGTTCTAGGGGAGTTCAACCTCCCGGATGTCTCTAGGGCCTATCTTTCTTGCAATTCGCATCAGAAACATTCGGTGCAGACTTTCTTGAGCTGACTCTCCAAGTGTCTTTGCACCAGTTCGTGGACTTTCCCACTAGGTAAATGGACAACCAAATACCATCTACCTTAAATCTGGTTTTCGCTGTCACTCGAATCCGTGACTGACGTTTCATACTTGCACCTCTAGGGTTCAGCGATCACGCATGCATATCCTTTTGATGTGCTCTTTCAAGGCACCAAGAGACCGCTGTTGAATTACTTCCGAATATTTGGCGGGCTGACTTTAGTGCGATGCGAGCTAAGGCTTCAGTTCTGAACTGTGAGATCTCGATGGCTGCCTCTGTCCATTTAGCCTGGGATAAATTTAAGGCATAGTTTACGGAGGTTTCCACTCCCTGTATTCCACTCATGAGGAAAAGATGGTTAAGGGCACAGCCTCCATGGATAGATACCACAATCAAGTACCTACTCAAGAAACGGTCTAGTTACCGGCGAACTTACCAAGCAGCTCCATCAGCCAGTACCCATGCTAGCTGTCGAAAGATTAGAAACAAATGTAACCAGCATCTCAGAAATGTTCGTCTCTAGTACGAGCAGCGTTTAGCGGACGCGGCCGCAGCTAATCCCAAGAGTTTTTTGCTTACGTTAAAAAACGCAACGGGGCAAAACTGTCTATACCAGCGTTATTGTGAGCAGACGGGGCTCGTGCGCAAACCGACTATGACGAGGCTTGTATACTTAATGCTCAGTATACTGGGGTCTTTGCCCAGGAGACCTCTTTAACACAGGTTGTGTTGGTTTCGAGAGTTCCAGAGGATTCTTGCTCGGCTGAATTTAGCATACCAGAAACTCAGGTCTTCAAGCTACTGCATATCATTAATCCCCTCAAAAGTTTCCGGTCTTGATTCAATTCATATAAAGCTGTTGCATGAATTGGCCACTGTGCTGAGTGGTCCTCTCACATGCGTGTTTTCACTAGCGCTGGACAGCTGCATCCTACCTTCGGAATGGAAGGAGGCAATCATCTGTCCGATTTTTAAGGGTGGTGACAGCGCTCAACTAGCGAACTACCGGCCTGTCAGTTTAACAAGCGTAGTAGTCAGGTTGTTTGAAAAGCTGATAAGCGATTCAGTGGAGAACCACCTGAATCGATTCAACCTTCTCAATGTTGCGCACCATGGATTCCGCAAAGGATTTTCATGTCAGACTAAAATACTTGTAGCTCGTGAAAGCTGGGTCGAAGCGGTAGACAGTGGCCACGCTGTAGACGTACTATTCGTGGTCTTCTAGAAAGCTTTTTACACGGGTCCACATCTTCGGCTCTCACTAAAAATGAGATCCTGCGGGATGTCGTGTCGTGTCCTTCAATGGGTGCCTGCCTTCAATGAGGGGAGGGAACAGTGCTTATGTGTGGGGCGTAGCCTTTCGCTCAGGCAAGCTGTCCTTAGTGGCGTCCCGCAAGGCTCGGTATTGAGGCCCTTGTTGTTCGCGATCTATGTAAATGACTTGCCGGGAGAGCTAGGGATATCATCACTAAAGTTAGCAGACCACCTTAACCTCTAGAATATTTTGGATATTTCGGGGGTTCTGAGGCAATCCAGGGTGCCTTTGTAGTGGAGTGAAAACTAGTCTTAAACTACCGCACCGGAAGGAAAGGATTAGTGTCAGATAAAAGTAGCAGCACGCTGACCTTCAGTAGTGACGCTTGGACGAACTCCACTGCTATTGCACAATCTTTGTTACGATATTCCAATGTTGGTCCCATGTAGCTCAGACTTCCCCAATCACACAAACAGAATTTCAACACGCCGCCGAAAAAAACAGAACGCGCCGTTCGAGGTCGATAATTGTGTGTATGAAAAACGGTCAATTAAAACAACTGTACAAGACGCATAGAAAAGCGAAATAAGAAAAGCGCAAAAACAGAAATAGCTATGAACACTAGACTTTGGATAGGTTCAGGGAATAGTCAACCTTATATTTGAGCTCCATAATTAGCGTCAAGTGCTCTGTTCTCCGAATAGGAGCTGTTAATCCACCCACCCGATTGCTCGTCGGAGGTGGTGAACTCCCGATTTTCACTCAGCAGGTTGATTTACGGGTCATCCACGCATCAGCACTTCATGCTGGCAACAATTGGAAGAAGGCCGCTTGTCGAGTTTTTCGTATGATGTGGCTTATCCTCCGCTCTTTCTGAACCCTAAGGGCCAATTGGTTTGTGAAGCTATTCTCGGCATTCGTCCGACCCCACCTGGAAGATCGTATCCAGGCTTGTCCACCATATCTTGCCCGAGACAAAATGGACTTGGAGGGGCGTTACGAGTGGGTACTCGGTTAGTGCAGGGTCTACGTGGACAGACGTATCCTGAACGCTTGCTCAGTTTGGGGATGTACTTAATGCACCACCGAAGACTAAGAGGAGACCTGATTCTCACTTTTCGTACGTTGATGGGTAAGATGGGCCAGGACTCGTCAGGGCTATTTAGTCCCACTACGTTACCTAATCTCCGCGGTCGCCCACTGAAACTGCATAAACCATGGTCTGGTAGGATTACGACGAAAACTCGTCTGTCGCGCCGAGTTATAAATGGCTGCAATTCGCTTCCAGACCACGCGGTAAGGGAACCTACGGTTAAGGGTTTTGCGCGCCAGCTCGATTCTCTTGGGTGGCAACAGCAAACTTTTCTTTTTCCTAACGTACTCACCACTTTTCAGTTGTTTTTATTGGCTCAAATAGCTTGGTATTCCACTTGCTTTGCTCTTTCCACTTGCTCTTTTGCCTTCTGAGTTTACTTTTTCTCTTTCTTATTTCACGTAACGGGGCCTGCAGGGACTGCTAAGGCGGGATACTTGGGCATTAATTGGTTGGACAGGGTGAGATGCGGTCTTTGTTTTAGGTCCATTAGTATTTCAAAGTCCACCAACTCCTGGTTCAACGACCCGCTGAAGGAGGAACACTCGTGGGATAATCCTATCTTTTCAGTCCAGCCTTAACTTTAATTTGAAAGTAATGGATAAATTTGTCGTTCCTTATATAAGGAAGCGCGCAATGGTGCCACGCCATACCTGCAAGCGCTATGGACGCTACGTGCTGTACGTTTGTCATGGGGTCGGCAGCGATGGCTTCGGATGTGGATTACGGTTGCAATGGCTCAACATCAGCCTCCCAGCGTGTGGTGGACGATGATCAGGTGGAATATGTAACAATTGAAGCGTTTAGGGATGACTTTCGGCATTTCAAAGTCAATCCTGCACGTCACTTTTTATGTACAATTCTGGACCTGTCGGTCGATGCCACCGAAACCGTGGTATTGTGCTACCGAAAGGGAGGGCATATTTATACGTAAAGTATGTAGGAGTTACTGCCACCGGAAACTTGCTGAAGACCACCGGT